CATGTCAGGGAGATAAATTCCAACTTATTTGTCTTTACAAAGTTATAAAATCATCTACGAAATAAAGTGTGAGTCTGAGAAAATTGGTTTTAACTGTTATAACAGGCCTCGATTTCTTGAAACAAACTTAAGTCTGAGTTTTGACTTAAGTTAGAGTTTTTACCCAAATTTGAGAAAACACATTTTTCCCAGAATGAAATAAAACCGATATTAAACTCAAACATAGTAGACAATTTGAGTTTGGTGAATAGAATAATTAAGTTGTTTGGGCTTTTATATTTCAAAAATGCAGCTGAGATAAATATCCAGCAGTTTCAAATTGTCAAACTCAGTTTGATATTTGAGTAAAAACTTCGAGAAATCGGGGCCTGGAATAGGGAAATTTAGGAAATTTTAGGATAGCTTGAGCCTGAAAAGTAGGAATGTGTGCAGGTAAATATAAATTCATGGGTGACAGAAAAATATCTGCATCCTTATCTAAACTTGAGTGGTATACATGTCTGAGTACTTGACACGGAACTAGGTGGTGTTGAGTACAGACAAGTCAGTTGTAGCCATTATGTAACACGTTCCTCCCGACCACGCTCCATGCCAGGTAAAGATGGGAGGGGCTGCATCTCGAGGTTTACCTGAGATTCCTGGCTGCAGACATACAGCTGCATTACCTCAACTGGTACGTGTCTGTGTGAGATGTGCACTACGTACATTGCACCTGCAGCTCACATACTGACATTGTCGTAGTTTTATGAAGATATTGACGATTCGATGTTGGATTTACGTGTTATTTTTAAATTGTGGTTATACCGATTGGATTGGATTTGTTTAATATGCTTGTTCAAAGAACATTATTTGGTGACAGTGGAGTATTGGTGGTGAAAGACCTTATGAACCTATGGACGAAGGTCATGTTTTTATCAAGGATGGTGTAGTTATTTCCTGGACTAATGGATTATGGTGCCATACAATTCTATGTTTAATAATCTGTAAGTATTAATGTTAGTGTGCTATTTCAATATGGAGGCAATGGAATGTCCAATAGGGTAGTGCATTCTTTGTAATAGTATGGTCTGGAGTTGATGCTTAGAAATTCTCATAGTTGACAAATTATACTGAACCCAAATTCGCAAATTCGTAACATCCTCATGTGCCTATGTCTGTAAAATACCATGATTGACGATGGGCTGTAAATCAGTCAGTCAATTTACCAAATGTGTGAAGATATTTCTGCTAAACACTGACTGGATCAGACAAACCAATGATTGATGGCATGAGTACTAGGGCATAACGACAAAAGAAGCAAGTTCGCTCATTGAAGGAGCCAAGTCTCAAGTTAAACATGGAATACTTGGAATGTTTAATTCCTCCCCAGTCCTCTATGGGGTTTTGTTATTATTATTTTAAGTATATAAAAAGAAAGAAATTTGATTCTGGGACTGTATGTGAGCCTACTTTTTATTTTTAAATGTTTTTTTAAAAGTATTTATCCGTAAATGGTGCCATATCCTCATAGTCTTCAACCCGTGAAGTTCCGGATCAGAATTGGTCTTCAGCTACGCATGCTTGTCGTAAGAGGCGACTAATGGGAAAGGGTGGTGAGGCTCGCTGACTTGGTTCACACATGTCATCGTACCCCAATTGTGTAGATCGATCCTCTTGCTATTGATCACTGGATTTTCTGGTCCAGACTCGATTATTTACAGACCACCGCCATATAGCTGGAATATTGCTGAGTGCAGCATTAAACAACAAACAAACCAAACCAAATCATAGTCTTCAAAAGTAATTGTGTTCATCAAAGACCTTCTTTGTATTATTGTTAGCTATCTAAACAGTACACCACTAAACCACTCTAATCTATGAACTGTCTCACCTGATTAATCAACCAATCAACCAGTCAGGCAGTCAACTACCTCAGCAGTCAAACAGTCAACCCACCGCTGTCATTTGATCAATATCTGTCCCATTTCGTCCACGGTGTTTCAGCTGAGGAACACTGTCAGCCCAAGCCACAAGTCGGCACAGGGTTGTCAGTTTGTCATAAAACATGTCCGCGCATCAACCTCAAACACAAAAAACAAACGACTCCTAATACTTTCATCTTTGTTCCAAGCCACCCATTAAGCCGACTAGACTTGTTCTACGGGGTTGTTTTTATAAATATTTCTCTTCCATTGTTTAAGTCAGCAGTACTATTGAGTGGTTGAGGGCACACGGCCCTAGGGGTTGTGTCTGAACCTGTTGCCTGACCATTGAGACAATGGGAGAAAAATAACACCCTTTTGTGGAGACATAACATTCAGTTTTAAAGTAAGCACACATTAGACAGTCCAACCTTTGTAGTCAGGTAAGGTGAGGACAGGACAGTTGATCATACTTCATGACTTCAGAGGGTGATGGTTACCATGTTGGTGCTTTTAACTGTAGGTTCTTTTTAATAGACTTCTTTAGTATTGTTCAAGATTATTGATGTTGTGAAAAGATGTTTGTGCATGTGTGTTCGTGTTGAATGAATGAGTGAGTGAGTGAGTTTAGTTTTACGCCGCACTCAGCAATATTCCAGCTATATGGCGGCGGTCTGTAAATAATCGAGTCTAGACCAGACAATCCAGTGATCAGCAGCATGAAAATGAATGAATGAATGAAGAACACAATGCTCCAGAATATATTCTACTGACTTTCCATGTTTAATGTCCACCATTGTTATCTTATCACTGTTGTCGTATCACATGCACATATATAGTGGTGGTGTGTGGTCCTATGCATAGAGTTCAGTTGAAGTTGAGCGCGGAGAGTTTTTGAGGACTTCAGTCCTGCCCCACAACGAAGCACACGTGACACATGTGGTCTCACCTTAGGCAAGTGAGTTTGTTCAAAATTGCCTCTGTTCACCCAGCAGAAAGTGGGTACCCGGTGGGACAAGTCATGTGACTAATAACCTTCTAGCACCTCACAGGCAGCTTGGGTTATCCGGGATGATAATGTGTTAGTGCTTTGAGCATGCACACGTGTGTGGAAAAGGCGCGTTATAAATGGCCATTATTATTATTATTATATAGCTGTCTGCTTCCTGGTTTTCCTCCCGTCACGATATGGCTGAGATATTGCCGATGTGACGTTAAATATTAACTCACTCACTCCTGGTTTTTCTGTGTGTGAAATACACATGATGTTGGAAAGCAACCATAAAATCACCAAATACATGTATCATCATCCTAGTTTTCATTCACTCATGAAGGAGTAAGAATGTACAGTCCGTTTGAGTCAGAAACGGACCGATGAATTGCAAATTTTATCATTGTACAAAATTGCCACATAAATATAAATAGTACACATGTTTATCATTTACTAATACCCAACAGCTTTCTTATATTTGAAAATTTTCCGGACTCCACCAAAAAAGTTCTTTAAGAAACTATCATTAAAATTTTGACAGAGTTCACTATTTGTTACGAGGGAGGAGTGCAGAGAAAGGGACAGCCAGGTGTTAGAGAAGCACGTGCACAAGTGCCCACCAAGTTATTGATTCATTAGCTTGTGCTGTGCAGACTCCTTCCTTTCTCGCACACCTGGCTGTCCCTTTCTCTTAGTGAACAAATAGTGAACTGTGTCAAAATTTTCTGACTCAAACGGACTGTACTCTGAAATGTCTTGTTCCTCATATTACAGAAGTTGTTGTCCACTAGTGTTCACTCTTCATGTGTATCACTTCCAAATGCCATTCAAAGTCTGTGCATGAAGTATATGCAAATATTTCTTTTTCTTGAAGATACAGATGGCATTTAGACAGGGGGATCTTAAGAGCTAAATTATTCATCAAATGTATTACCTATATAGTTATACAGCATTAGTATAGTATAAAGGATCATATATGGATGTGTACTGAATAGGTACCTATAGCTGAAATAGGTATTACCAAACACATTTCAAACATCCATGTGTTAATTAGCTGATTATTTCCGATATGTACCTTTACATGAATCAATGTTAAGTGATGTTTGACCTTCATGCGGATTATTCATTAGGTAAATATTAATTTCAACAGCATATGTAATTCAATATGTTCTTGCTTCATCACAAGATATTTAAGAATGTAGTGAGGATTTGACTTAAACTTAGTTTCTTGCCATAGTGTGATTTAGTTGTGCCTTTGAGCAGTACTGTTTATTAGGGGTGGGTATTGTAGACAATTTTCATATTGTGATGCGAAAGCAATTATTGCGATTTTATTGCAATATATTGCAATATATTTAACAAAAAAAAACTACTTATAATCGAGTTAATGCTTGATTTATAAAGCAAAAACACAACAAAATCACTATGCTTGTTTAAGCTTTAAAAAAACCTTTTAATCATGACATAATAAAAATGTAAATAATATTTGGCACAAATGAAACAAGTAAAACAACAATTTACCATCAACACAGTGGGTACAAGTTTGAACTAGTTTCTCCACTCTCATAAAAATCCTGAGATTTTAGACAGCAACTTGACCTGGTCAGTACATATCAGAGATCACTGGTCATTGTGAAACACTTGAACAAAAATTAAGAACACAACTTCAAACCGAACTTAACTTGACTTCCAATGTAAAAAACGGAAATATCCAATGATTTCCGAGTGATGCGCAGTTTTCCGAATGCAAGTCAAAATACCGGTTTTTGATCAGCGTATCGCAATACGTATCATTTTCATGTCTGAACCGGTAAATACCAGTAAACTGGTTATATTGCACAGACAAAAGCCTAAAATTTTAGATTTTATAACAAAAAATATATTTATTATCATTTTAACATTTCCTGAATGGATACTCACAGGTCTTCTCCAGCAGGATATTTATTGACTCTGTGTTCTCATGTTATTGGGTATGAAGATACTATCAATAAAATGGCCAATAATATGAACTGTTGGTCCTTTGTAGTTATGTTGCCCTTGGGGATTTTTATGTTTGACGCATACTTTTTCACCTTTTCTTTGTCTAATTATTTGTTTTTGTGTTTCAGCTGGAAAGTGTGATTCAAACCTGGAATACTCATACCACAAAGTTAGGTGAGTGTCCCCAGTAGTGTTGGGAATTGGTTGAAATGTCACACTTGATGATTGGTTCATTACCAACAAGCGATCATCGAAAAAAGTTGGTTAGTGTCATTTTTCAGATTTTCCTGTTCAGGTTGTTAATGCATATAAGTATAAAGAAAAACATGTGGTTTTCTATTGTTTTTTCTTTTATTTAGAAACTACTCAAATTTCACATCCAATGTAAAATGATGACTAATGTATCATGAGCATAAACTTGCCAGAGTCTTCAAGAAATATTCAGTCATGACTTTTCAGTAAGAAGTGAGTTTTCTAAGAATTCAGGCCCTGACAACTTCTAAGATATGTTAAGCATTTTGAACACTAAAACAGTAGATCCCAAATTGTTTGTGTTCGATCATGAAAAATGTGATCGATTCCTTGGTCATTTGGTCACTACGACCAATCTTCGATTATTTCAATTAATCGGAACAGCACTACCCCCCAGCCATCTTATTGTCTGCTGCATCTTCGTGTACCTGACGTTTGCTCGTGTTGATTGTTTATAAATATGTACCACTAAAAAGACATTAAAGACACCTACTTCATTTATAGTGAATGAGTTTCGTTTAATGCCGCTATTAGTAATATTCCAGCAATATCACGGAGGGGACACCGGAAATGGGCTTCACACATTGTACCCATGTGGGGAATCGAACCCAGGTCTTCTGCGTGACAAGCAAACGCTTTAACCACTAGGCTACCCCACCTCCCCCACTTCCTTTGTATGACATTAGTTGATATGACTTGTCATGACAGATAAACAATTGCCACATAAAAATCACAGTGTTTTTAGATTCTTTCGAGGAGTAAATATGCCCTTAACAATTAGTTGCCCCACATTATTTACTGGGAGACCCAGTCATCTGTTGTGGCTTCCCTTGGACGTGCCAGAACACTTTGATTGTGGATTTGAATCCTGGTTTGCCCTGTTTATCATGTTTATGTGTCAAGGTTTCTCAACACCATACCTCATGGCTAAAGTGTCTGCTCATCATGCTGAAGACCTGGGTTCAGTTCACATAGGTACAATGTGTGAAGCCCATTTCTGGTGTCTCGCCGTGATATTGCTGGAATATTGCTAAAGTGGCATAAAACCAAACACACACTCATAGCTTTTATTAATTTAAAGTGCTATGAAACAAAATGTTTTCTTTTTCCTTTCTTTTCAAATGATAAAAGCCTGTTTTGTAATATGGAAATTTATCATGATAGCATACCTCGTTATATTTAGTAGTTTTAATGCTTTACTTGCATAAGGGGCGGTTGGGTAGCCTCGTGGTTAAAGCGTTTGCTCGTCACGCCGAAGTCCCGGGCACATGGGTACAATGTGTGAAGCCCATTTCTGGTGTCCCCCACCATGATATTGCTGGAATATTGCTAAAAGTGGCGTAAAGCCATACTTTCTTTTACTTGCATAAGTAAATATAATTAGTAAATAAGTAAATATAGTTACAATGAATGGATTTGAGATTAATTATATGTTAACATTTTGACTTCTCTCATGACAGAAAGGGTGGTGGGGTAGCCTAATGGTTAAAGCGTCCGTTCGACATGCTGAAGACCGGGTTCGATTCCCCACATGGGTGCAATGTGTGAAGCCCATTTCTGGTGTCCCCCGCCGTGATATTGCTGGAATATTGCTAAAAGCGGCGTAAAACCATACTCACTCACTCACTCACTCATGACAGAAATCCTATACAGTAAAAACAGTGCTCATTCTGATAAGCAGACTGCACAATTGTGTTTTCAAATATTGTTATTAGTTATTTAACTGCTTGTATTTAAATCAGAAATTGTTGTAAAATGTCGGTGCTCCAGATCCTGGATAATATTATAATATTAAATTAACTTAAAAGTCAGGAAATGAAGTGTCATATTTCAAGATTTGTTCATGAATTTGTTGGTCTGCATCCATCTGCTCTTATGAGGTTCCTGTCACCTGTGGCCACAGAAGCCTGCCTTAACACGCTCAGAGTTATCCCCCTTGTTATTTTTACAGCTTGTACTTTTATCAGAAAAGATATTAAGTCTACTTAATGCACTTCACTTAATAGAGTAATGTAAAAAACCTACTTTGTGCAACACCTGTGTGGACTGATGTGTATATGATATATCCAATTTGAGAATTAAATCCAGGTGATCAGTGTCAAAACACCACACCACCTTACATAGCCTCTACCTCTCTCCATTTCCAACCCGTGAAGATCTGGCATAGAATTGGTCTTCAGCAACCCATACTTGTCGTAAGAGGTGACTAACAGGATCGGGTGGTCAGGCTTGACACATGTCATTGTATCCCAATTGCCTAAATCGATGTTCGTGCTGTTGATCACTGGATTGTCCAGACTTGATTTTTTACAGACAGCTGCCATAAAGCTGGAATATTGTTGAGTGCGGCTTTAAACAACAAACAAACTAACCAGCGAACCAACCAATCAGACATTTCCCCACATCACCTCTCATCCCACCAACCTGCCATCCACCACCACATCACCTCTCATCCCACCAACCTACCATCCACCACCTCAACCCACCATCACCTCTACATCCCACCAACCTACCATCCACCACCTCAACACCCCACCATCACCTCTCATCCCCACCAACCTACCACCCACCCAGCATCCTCAATGCTCCGACCATCCAACCTCTCATCCCCACCAACCTACCATCCACCACCTCAACACCCACCACACCATCACCTCTCATCGAACCACCCCAGCCTACCATCCATCCCACCTCAACTTCCCATCCCAACACCTCTCATCCCACCAACCTACCATCCACCACCTCAACACCGACCACACCATCACCTCACTATCCCCACCAGCCTACTCCATCCTAACGCTTCCTTCCCATCCCAACACCTCCACATCCCACCAACCACCATCCACCATCCCAACAACCACTACCATCTCACTATCACCGAGACCACCCCAGCACCTCTCCCATCACCTCTTCCCATCCCAACACCTCCACCAACCTACCATCCACCACCTCAACACCCGACCACACGATCACCTCTCACCACCCCAGCACCCTCCATCCACCACCTCAACTTCCCACCATCACCTCTACATCCCACCAACCTACCATCCACCACCTCAACACCCGACCACGATCACCTCACTCATCGAACCACCCCAGCCCTGTCCATCCTAACGCTCTCCTTCCCATCCCAACACCTCTACATCCCACCAACCTACCATCCACCACCTCAACTCCCGACCACACCGTCACCTCACTATCGAACCACCCCAGCCCTGTCCATCCTAACGCTCTCCTTCCCATGCCAACACCTCTACATCCCACCAACCTACCATCCACCACCTCAACTCCCGACCACACCGTCACCTCACTATCGAACCACTCCAGCACCTGTCCATCCTAACGCTCTCCTTCCCATCCCAACACCTCTACATCCCACCATTATGATACAAGAATTGTGGTTTAAAAACCCAAAGTAGATTCATGCTATCTTCCAAAAACTACACTCTCAGCATTTACTGAGTTGAGAAAACTTTACAGGCTTCACTCATGAATGTTCACCTCTTGAAAAATAGCTTCCAAGAAGAAACACAAAGATCTGCCAAGAATGGTTCAGGAAGACGTCTGCCGACACACTGTTTGTCAATTACATGATTATAAGGGTTAGTGAACACCTTCCTAGCCTGGGGAGATCATCACAGTGTCACAATTAACTGTTGTGGGCGCTGTTCTTGTTTAATGGCAACAACACGTACCTTTGATGTTTGACTGGCAGCAGTTCATTTCATCAAACATACATTTAGCTGTTTATTTTCTTTCTTTCATCGATCACACTAAATGAACAAGGAAATTATGGCCATATTGTTTTTTAACTTTTGGCACTTTTGCTGAGAGTGATTTTTTAATTTCATATATAATTCCTTCCAATACCAGACTTACATTACAGAGCAGTATGTTAGCCATATTGCCAGTTATCACAGCAGGGGTTTTCTTAGAATTTCAACAGATGTTCCCTTCATTGCTAAACTGTTTATCATTAAGTTGAGTCTGCAGCCATTATAATGTTTATTCTGATTGGAAAATATTTGTGATCACTTGTGACAGAGAATAGCATAATTTTGAAATAGATATTTCTTGTATGAGAAGATACCATACAGCTACTGCAAACTATTTTTTTTTAACAATTATCCAGATTTATACCACAACATGAACAATAAAGAGTTGGCACCCATCCATCAGTGTTAAAGTGATTGAAGCACCCTGTAAATGTTTCACTAGTGGTTGAAGGAAGGACTCTATGATGGGAGTGATTGAAGCACCCTGTAAATGTTCACTAGTGGTTTGAAGGAAGGACTCTATGATGGGAGTTCTGGGAACATTGTATTTGGCTAAATTTTCAGTGTCTTCTATAATGGTCTTGATTCCAGATAATTTGAATCAATAATGTATCTTTTCCAGACAACTGGATTCCTTTCCTCTGTTATTTTATTGTGGAATGACTTGTATGAGTAAATGAAATTATCTTTTTCAGCAAATGGTTTGGTTTGGTTTGTTGTTTTATGCCGCACTCAGCATTATTCCAGCTATATGGCGGCGGTCTGTAAATAATTGAGTCTCTACCAGACAATCCAGTGATCAACAGCATGAACATCAATCTATGCAATTGGGATACGATGACATATGACATTTGTCAACCAAGTCAGCAAGTCTGACCACCCGATCCTGTTAGTCGCCACTTACAACAATTATTTCCATCAAAATGAGATTTTTTAAGGATCTCTATATTTTGTATTACACTTTATGATTATTTATATGAAACTGTATGCATATTTATGATGCTACACCAAAGACCTGAGAAATAAAAGAAATGCATTGTGAGTGACACAATAATATACCAACCTCTGGACAAGGTTCTGTAATTAAAGCAATTATCGAATCTTAATACACAAAACCATTTTATTAACTTTACAGGACCCTTAAATTTAATTGTTAGGCGTCTCCTGGGCCAACAGTTTTGTAAGTCAAGGTAAAACACAACAGACTTCATTTGGTTGGCAGTGAGTGTCATTATGAAAACTTTTTTTCGATTAATAAGATGTACACGGCAGCAATTTTTTAAAAGCAACTGTGGACTCCGACAAAATGCATTTGCCATAAATGTTATAGAAATTTCTCACCAAGATTTCATCAATTGAGCCTAGCTATTGTGGCAGCTAAACGCTGTGTTTCTTAACTTTCCAGAGTAAATGCAAGGTTGAAATATAATTATATGTTTGTGCTTTTCCATTACAAACAGCAACTGAGAGTATGGTCGTTTCACCCATCACACTTGCTGTACAGGTGGGATTAATGTTAATCCATGTCTTAATGGGCGTTTATGTTTGTTTACACAAGTATATCAAAAACATGACAAGTGTTAGGAAGTTGAAGCACCTTACCTAATGGTACCGTAAGCATTTGAGTTTAATGGTGGCATATTTCACATATTTTCAACATTAACGTCGATTTTATCAACTTCAAATCAGAATGTTACCGGTAGTGATTAAAGGAAGCAGTAAAATGTGTGCATTGTCTGATTTTGACGAGGTTGGTGAATCATGGCTCGGCGTTAACATAACAATCTCCGTACCAGGATCCATGCTCCCCGATTTTAAATGGCTTTTGTGAGAGAACAATCACTTGCAGCTGTATCATACTCTTATGTAAGGAAATCGTTTTCACTTCAATCTGTCGGTACTCACCACTGTGCGATTTGGGAGTCAGTCAACTGTGAAGCCCTTTGTAGACTGGTCAGTCCGGAGACCCCTTGTGTAACCCCTGACCTCACTGTGACCTCACTCCATGCAGGTAGGGTTAGAATGTTCGTGAACCAGCAGGTTTTTGATTGGACAAAGGAACCGATTCTAAAACCATTTCATTCACTTCTGCTGGTTGATCCTGTTTGATATCTTACTTGATACTACTTCCCTATAGATCTATTATGGTTAAATAAATAGTAATGGACAAAAGCCATCTTAATGATAGTAATTAAGTTCATAATTAATTTTCATGAAACATAAACTAATCATCAGATACAAGTACTTTCGTAATTAGCTATAACATATGTTATATTTGGGATTACACTTTCTCATTACTTTTGTTAGGGTGAGTCCCTTCCAGGATTTGAACCCACTCTCTCAGTCAGGCACCTAATTGCAAGCACACAAAGTCAGCCATCTAACCCACTCAGTCACGCTGAAGTAGTGGTGGTCCGATTAATTGAAATAATCGAAGATTGGTCGCAATGACAAAACGACCAAGCAATCGATCATGTTTTCTCATAATCGAACACAAACAATTTTGGAACACTTGTTTGCAATAACAATATTTTCAAAAGGTTGATTTTGTCTCTGCATTGCATAAGCACTACAAGCTCGTTCCAAGTCATGATTAAATTTATCTTAACAACTCCAGGAAATGTATGTTCCTAACACACTAGTCATCCTTTAAAGATGTGAAATTTGCAAATGCAGTTTGTGCAATTTGTGAAAAAAATGAGAAAACTACATGTTTTTTCTTTATTTTTTGTGCATTAACAAACATAACCAGGAAAATTTGATAAATGACGCTAACCAATTATTTTCGATGATTGATCGGTTGTAATGAACCAATCATCAAATATGAGATTTACACCAATTCCCAACACTACGCTGAAGAGGTCGTTGTCAGCACCGGTACTACAGATATGTACCCCAGGTACGTTTCTGTATACAGACATGTACCCTAAACAAAGATAAACTACAGAAACGTACCCGGTACCCTAAACGACGGATGAGTCCATATTCCGCAACCCAATACCGAAACCGTATGTAGTTATTCCCGTTCAGCTGTTTGCGAGTGGTGTACGTTGTGCACCGTGAAATATTCGTTACTGTGTATGCTCTTATATAACGCATTCAAAGGCATCTAATACAACAGTATGACAGTTCCGATCAAGAAAACTCCACAATGCAGAATGGAATCGTCCAAGGGTATGTTTCTTTATTCTGATTTTGGCTAGGGTACATGTCTGTATAGTGAAACGTACCTGGGGTACATATCTGTAGTACCCGTGCCGACAACGACCCCCTTCAGCCTCAGTCACTGTGGCATTGACAAAAATTGAAGTCTGACAACCCATAACAGGTCCACAGAAAAATCTATACCAGCACTGTTTGTACTACGTATAAAATGCATAGATTTACATAGATTTTAGGGTATTGGCTATCTCCAATTTTATAAACAAAACTCAAAAACTTGTCATCATTGTGAACCACTTTGAAACAGCCATACATTTAGTTAACTTGTTTATCTTCACTTAAAAGAAGTATCTGTATTCCAAATGCATACAAAATATTATCATATACTGCAATGAAGACAGATTGTCCTTTCATTTCATCGGTTTATGATGATGATGATGATGATGATGATGATAATGATGATGATGTTTTGGAGACATCTGTTTAATGTCAGATAGTCCTAAATGTACAAATACTAGTGAAAACCCAACTATGATCTGGTATCAGGTAATTAATAGCATTGTTCATATAACGAACCAGCGACATCTCACACTCTCATGTCAACACCTGACACCTGAGACAATGTAAGTAATACCTACCTGAACTTCCTCACATAGCAACTGTGTAGATGGTGAGATGAAGGTCACTTCATGTTGTAGTAAGTAAGTAATTTAAGTGTACTGGAAATTAATCGAACAAGATAGTTTTAACTGTTTTGTGGTGTTCATTTTATTATGCATGTGTTTATGTTTAATATGTTTGAGTATTTATTTTACAGGAAATCTATTCCTGAAATCCTAGACTAACACTAAGTCGCTGAATATATATAATTTTGATAGTAACAAACAAGCCCATTTCAATTGAAAAGGAGCCCTAGGGAGACCAGAGATTCAGAACCTGAGGAAATCTAGACTTGCTTTATTTAGGGCTTTAGCACTGCAGATAGGGCTTGGCAGTAGAGAAAATAATGTGTGATTCAGGGACTGTGAGACAGATTACTGAAATCCTGACTTGTGCTGTTTTGATTTTGTTATGTTTTTTAGATTCTGTGTGTTTATGTTGAACATGTGTTCAAGTTTGTACTTTTCTTCCAGGCAATCTGTTTCCAAGCAAATTCTGGAACCAATACGCAGAATATTACGATAACTACCTTAACACAAAAAGGTAAGGCAGTTTTACCACAGTTTATGCCACAGCATCTTTCAGTGTTACTTGGAGCAAGGGGCGGTGGGGTAGCCTAGTGGTTAAAGCGTTGGCTCGTCACGCCGAAGGCCCGGGTTCGATTCCCCACATGGGCACAATGTGTTAAGCCCATTTCTGGTGTCCCCCGCCGTGATATTGCTGGAATATTGCTAAAAGCGGCGTAAAACTAAACTCAGTCAGTCAGTACTTGGAGCAAGTAGATTCATACAGTATGGGTTCAAATCTGAAACTGGTTTGTGTGCACCATACCCATGTTTGGCTTCAGAGGAAGGGTTGATATTTAAGATTTGCATCTAGGCAGATGTTTCTGCCACTTTCAGTCAACTCGCCATGAGTTGAATAGAACAATGTTTGAAGCCAGCTCACTCTTTTTACCATTTCATGTAGTGAGTGAGTGTGGTTTTCGCCGAATATTGCAATATTCCAGCAATATCATGGCGGGGAACACCAGAAATGATGGGCTTCATACATTGTACCCATGTGGGGAATCGAACCTGTGTCTTGGTCGTGATGAGCGAACACTTTAAGCACTAGGTTAATCCACCATAAAGTTTCTGTAGATGAGGAAGCAGGTGAAGGGGCACCTGTGTTTCAGTTTGTTTGATGTGGGATGCTAACACGGACAGGTTAGACCATCCAATTAGAGCGGTATGTCAAGCATGGCGACAATATGTGTCAAGAGTCATTTCTAACTGTTATGACAGAGGGGCGGTGGGGTAGCCTAATGGTTAAAGCGTTGACTCATCACGCCGAAGATCCGGGTTCGAATCCCCACATGGGTACAATGTGTGAAGCCCATTTCTAGTGTCCCCCGCCGTGATGTTGCTGGAATATTGCTAAAAGCGGCGTAAAACCAAACTCAGTCAGTCAGTCAGTTATGTCAGACATGTTAACAATATTCACAAGTTAATATTGACTCAGATATGGCCAGACCAGTTTCATATCTTGGTCAGTATGTAAAAGTCAGGAGGACAAAGAAAATTAAAAAATTATATATATATAAATATGATTTAGAAATTTGTTGATTGATTTTTTCAAAACTTATAGGTGTCTTAAAAAGTAAATTGGTCTGGCTTTAATATACTAAAGGGATTGTTTAAGCTAAAGATTTTATTTCAGTTTGTGTTTTTTACATACTTTGGATTCTTTATTTTCAGCTTTTTGGAAGAAAAATGTGCAACTGATTCAACTTTCGCTGAGTTTTGCAATTTAAGGAAAGAACAGGGAAAGTTAGGAATAGACACGCTGCTCTTTTTACCTGTAAGTACAACTTTAGTTTTCCAAAATATTTAGCATGGGTTTACTTTCAGGGAAGAACAAATGGATGTCCTGCCATTTGGATGTGAACATGTGTCATATTTGTAGAATGTGGGCCAGGAAGCTGTGTTGAAACTGATGTGATTTATGGTTTAGATGGGAGTGTGAGCTCTACCAGCCAACACGAGCACCTACAATACATTGTGTACAGAGTTGCCTCCCTTTATGTGACTTCACACAATACACCTACATATTCAACTTCAAGATTTGCAATGCATTAATTGAATATTTAGCATGCATTAGTTTAAGATACCTATGACAAATATTAGCTAATTCATTTTGTCAGTTAATTAGTTTAAAATTGAAAAATCAAACTGATTTTTATGATGTTATATATGTCTCTTGGGAAAAAAAGAGAAGTCATGAGAAACTGGTAATTATGAAAGTAGAAGAGACATGTTGATTCTCTCTCTTGAGCCAATACATTTTTGTGATTTCTTAATCTGTGGTATAACTGATCATATAAATTCTTAATAATTCTTCATAACTATTAAAAGTTACATCAATTTTAATTTTTAAAAGGCATGTTTTGAATTACCAAGAAATGCTTGCTAAAGGGCATGTTCCTATTTAAAATAAAATAATCCTTGGTTTAGAGTCAACTGCATCAACCCTAGCATGATCTCGTCACAAAAGTAAAATTCACTTTCGGAACATTTTCTTTCACCTTTCAATAAATCCCTGAAAGTTATTTTACTTAACCAAATGACCTTTACAAAATGATTGACAGTTAAAGAGATGACACCCAGAAGCTTCAGCGTTACCCCGAGTGCTGGATGAGTTCGGGACAAGTCATCTAGTTCATCTACATGTTCTGTATTCAACACACTAACATTCACCAGATGTCATGAACATTGTAATACACACAGTACTAAGCTCTTACGCAGTGCATGAATGAATTCTGTAATTGTTCCCCTTGGTGGGTGAGCTAGAAGTGCAGACGTGAATGGTTCTTGAAGGCAATGGCTGATAATAGGTTTTGAATGGTTTGAGGAAACTTTATAGTTTGAATGTTAAAATGATGTTTCTCATGTAGCAGGATTCAGTTACTTGTAAGATACAAACAATCTGAAGCCATTAGGTTCATAGCTTTAGATTCCAGTGTAATGACATAGGTGGATCCAGAAATTTTCAAAGGGGAGTTCAGGGGGTTTGAACCCCCTGAACCTCACCTTGGCTCTGCCATTGCAAAACATTATTTTCAATGTGGTCTTTAGTTATTTTTTGTTATTTTTTTGTTATTATTTATTAATTTAATTTGGGTGGGGGAGAACCCAAAACCAAACCAAACCACACACACACACACACACACACACACACTCTCTCTCTCTCTCTTAAAATATGTTTCATTTTAAAAATTATAAGTTTTAATGATCTGTTCCAAAATTGGTATCTAAAAGATATTAATTGATTGATTAAACAGTATAAGGTAGTAAGTAAGTGGAGGATAATAGTGTTAATTCTCATAAGGAAAAAATGCTTAATGCAATGGAGAAAAACTTAAATATTCACTTTTGGTTTAAAAATGCAATTTATTGAAATATTTTAAAGAAGATTTTGTATTTGATATTAACAAATTAACAAATTATTAAGCCTTCAAGTTGATTCTTCAAATTTTGGGTGCAGATGCTCCACAGATATTTTTCAGAATTTTAACATGGTTGTGATGAGTTGATGGTGGGATTCATGTAGTTATTGACAGGGGAGGGACACTTCCCATGAATGTGAGAACATCCTCGTCAAAGACCACTTTCACATAAAAAAGTCCTGACGTCATCATAGAATATTAACAAACAGTTCCCAAGTCCGGGAATTAGGAACACAAGACACTGTTGTGTTTATGAATTGTGTCAACAACAAAAAATAATATGCAAACCTTCGCCGTTCAGGTGTTAGCGTGTTTGATTTTCGTCACATCCTTGTCGGGTCTCACAAGTATATGTCTATAGTCAACGCTTCGGGGATGTTGGTGTTGCCTTTTCCACCTTGATCGTTAATGAACTGGCAGACGTTACGTCGATTGAGGAAGTGGCTGTGAATGGTGTGTTCTTCGCAGATTATCACCAGTATGAACAGAACTTCACAGGGATCAACTCATTGGTGTCGTTGACCTTGTGACGATTTTGGCGATTCTGACATCAGGGCTGTGACCTTGGACAAGTCATTATGCAAATTCTGTAAATATAATTAGCGTCTGTTAAAATGTCTCAGGAAATGTTTATTTTGGGATTATTTTTCATAAAAGTTTTTGGTCAATTTTGTCATTTTTGGTTGAAATTCAAGGTTGAACTGTCACTGGACCAAATTTAGACATGGAAGTCACAAGGTTGATGTGATTATGTTTTCAATGTCTACTTGAGTTTTATACACTGATGGGTGTTGTTGATTGATGTCAGCATTTAGATGTTGAAAGCATCAATAGAGTCTCCAGTTGAAAAAACTACATCATAATGTTACTCTGTGTAAGTCATGCTTGTAGAGATGGTAATGAAAGTGTTAAATCATTGGTGACAAAAATGATACTTCTACTGCAAAGTGAGAATAAAAACTTGCAATAAAACCACCTTTTCTTTTTTCATGCCGTAATTTTTAAGCCTTTTCAAATATACCTTTTGTGTTTACAGTAAAACTATTCAAAAGTCATATAATAAAACAGATGTTCATGAAAAAGAAGACTTTCTCTTTCATAAAAATGGGTCAGCTCTATTCAAGAAAGCTCGAAATATTCCATACTGAGTTATTTTCAATATATATATGTTTCATAATGTGTTTTTGTGAGATCTTTTCATGTGTGTCAGCAGGGGAGACATCTACTCAACCCTTTTCACACATATTGATACGAGCAGACAACGGGAATCTTCAGGGGGGTGCACTCTCACAATCACTCTTGCATTTCATAACGTCAACAAACGGAATGGAAGTACCTTTCAGGGCCAAGGACAAAACCGTTGCAATTTGTGTCAGCCCGTTTCAAAGTTTGCAATCCCTCATAAGCATTCAAGCTGAAATATTTTCAATATAGCGTTATTTAATTACAGATCAAGTCACGTGTGGAACATATATGATTAATTCTTATCTGCGTCACACAGTTTGATAATCACAAAATGACAGTTGTGTGTAAAAGAATTTCTAAACTGAATGACCTTCACCTTTTGTTGGATGGGTTCTCTTATAAAAGGGGCATCTCAGTGAATGATTTCTTGGAATGGGATTTTTGTTCTGTAAATATTTTTTGCACTGTCATCCTAACATTTCAAAACTATATTCTGATTTTCATACTGGTATAATATTCTCATGTGTACATTCTCATAAGTGATTGAAAATAAATATTACCATATGTAATATCAACCTTTCAGGCTTTGGGCCTTCTAAAAGCAGCGTAAAACCATATTCAATTACTCACTCCCAAAGTTTGCTCAATTTTGATAAAAGAACAAAAATGTTTTGTTTGTATATATACTTTAAAGACATGTAAATATAATATATAAAATGAATCAGAATGATGTATTTCATACAAACAAAAACATTATTTAGGGAAATAGTATTGTAAAAAAATCATCATTGTGACAAAGATATTGGAGGGTTCAGAATCTGGAATGAATGGATATACAACATAACTTCATCTAAATCCTTGTATTGAAGTACAAGCCTGGAATGTTGTAATACGAAGTTAAGCACGATATATCACTGCGTGCACCTATATGATCAGCCGCATGTATATCAAATTTACACGATGTCAATTATAAGCTGTAATTTAGTATGTGCCGTAAAGCAGAAAATCATATCCAAAATTTCAAAGACTGAAAACTGAATGAACTACCTGGTATTATTCCTGTATAATTTCAACTCTGAGGGAGATGCTCTTATAAACGAACAAGCTCAGTATTGTTCAAAACAGCAGTTATTTGCTGACAGAAAATATGTCTATCCAAACATTTTATAAGTTCATCCTGAAATTAAACCCACATTCTATTATTCTTTTTATAGCAATAATAATGGATATCGTGTTAATGGGTCTGTCGATATGACGTTTACCCGACAGTATGCACTCAGTGACACAAATGCTGAAGTGTACATAAAGAATTTTATTAGCTTTATTATAATGCAATGAATTATTTTCCAACACTGTTGACTGTAAAAAAAACATTTGCTTCTCTGGCGTGGGTCTCAGGTACAGACTCGCCATTTAGTCTTCAAACACATCGCAGACAAATGTGATGTAAATTGTTCGAGGTGAACCGTTTTTTCTCAATGGTGCACTGCATGAAGGACTGAGGGGATCATTTCAGCAATGCTGGTATTTGCCTTTACAAATTACCCCTCACACATTGGCGCTAACGGAAGAATCATTCGTAAACAGTGGATCGTGGGCCCAGACTCAGGCCACACACATGAGCAGGTCACAATCAATACGGTGCACTTTTAAGGACAGGAAAGATGAATTTGGATTTAAGAAAAATGAAAGATACCAGCCTGTTATTGATGTTTTTGTTTCCTTTGTTTAAAAAACAGCATTTTTTTCTGTTTTTAGAGCAATATTTATAAAACAACGAATTGCCCTTCCTCAACAAATCTTTGGAAAAATATTGCTTTGTAATGAACTTGTTTTATGTCTGTTAGGTTTTGTGAATATGTCTAACGAGGGATTTTTAGTTCTTGTGACTTTTGACAGAGATCATATAAAATTTTATTTTATGATCTCTGATTTTAAATAATTCACAAACTCTTAATGGGAAATTGTAATTGTTTGAATCTCAAAACATAAAAGCAAATTATGTGGTTAGAGTATATCTACTTGTAGTTAAGTGTAATATGAACTTATATACAACATGCAAATCCAAAGAGGGGGTGTGGGGTTGTAGAGTTGCAGCAACTCCTCCCTCCCTCACCCACGTATGTTCACCCACACACCATAATCACTCTCTCTCTGTCTCTCTCTCTGT